CCCCCCTCGAAAACGTCGTTTACTACTGTTAACGGTTGTTGCTGTTGTGCCGTTTGTTGTTGTTATTGTTCCTCCCCGACGGGGGAGCAACTCAGTCGGAATAAGTGTGCCGCGTGTGACATGACGCTTCTCAACTGAAGGAGTTTCCGGCTTTCTCAACGTCTCTCGCCGGAGTCAGGGCGCGAGATACGTCGTACAGATATTGCCACGCATCGAGCGGGAAACCACGCAGGAAGGATGTATCCCAGCGCCGGAATCAACGCAGCCGCCGTGGCCGCCGCCGCTGCCAGGCATCCGGTGAGTAGCGATTATCAATAACATAACGTAATAATAATAACAGTACTAATATTGTTTATTTGTATCCCCTCCCGAACCCCCTTTCTCCCTCCCCCCAGTATTGGCGATGGTATTTTCGGCGAGGGGATAAACTGCGTAAACCGCAATTGTGTAACCATTAAATAGCTATCGGATTTAATCGATGTAAATTCTCAGGCCGAATAAATTAGGCTGAATGCGGTGCTTCGGGATACGCTTCCCCCGCCGGAATGCGGCCGATAACGGTGTCGACGACACGAGACGGTGATATATTTCGCGGTTGCGAACTAGCGATCGTATCTCTGCTCGTCGCTTCCATTTGCCGGGGTCGGATAGTTAGATGTCGAAAGATCGCGCGACGTCGATAGAGTGTTTTGACTTCTCTCGCTCGCTCAGCGAAATGGCCGCGCTGCTCTCTGTGAGGTCGTCGGGCTCCTTTTTTTCTCTCCCAAGAGACCCGCTGCGGTGCCTTCCGTCTATTTTACAGCACGTTGCATACTTAACGTAGCGCCGCGCCGCGTCGCGATGCGACGCGCCGGCGCGGACCGGCGCGGCGCGCGACAGTCTGATTTACGTCTGTAATTTACATCGTTGTTAACCCTGTTTAACCTGCTCCTCCTTGATCGCGGCCCGTGTTTCTGACGCGCCACTCTTCCTCCCCTCCCGTTCTCTCTCTCTCTCTCTCTCTCTGTCTGTCTATCTCTTTCTCCGTTCTCTTTGCCGTGAAAGAGTAATCACACCGCAGGGTGATTTCTTTCCTGTCAGAGTGCTTAAGCTGTCGCGCTCGATTGCGCTCCCGTTACTCCGACTGCAGCGCGTTTCGCACCTCTCGTAACACGATCCGATGTCATCGACGAATCCAGACGACTTCTCGAGTTTCACCGTGTACACGCGCGAATGCGTGATCTCGATTGACGCCGCGACACGATGTCGACGCATGGCATTCCACGTTCCGTTCACATATCGGGTTTCGGTCGCTCGCGAAAATTTTCATTAACGCGTCGGAGAAATCGTTGTGCATCGATCGTTATATCAGGAAAATCACCATCACTAGGTTTCGAGGTGACGCGACCACGTGGCGTGAGATGCACGTGATGTGATGCACATTGCGAGATATTGCAAATTCAAGTTTGTAAAAGGCGCACTGTTACATCTTATAGAGTCAAATTTACTTAATGTGACAACAAAAAACTCCAACACCGGAGCGAATGAGAGTCAGCGTGGTAATTAATACGCAATCTTAATTCTTCGATCCAAAAATAGAATCTTTATTCCAAAAATAGTACGTTTCAGTTCACTTTGGAACCATCTTCAGCCAAACAAATTTAAAATATAAATCCCTTCATGTCAAGGAAATGGTTATTTTTACATATATTAAAATCAATTTTTTTGCACACTTGGATTTGCACTATAATCGCATATATATTTAATAGCCTTTTCGATTGCAGAGTTTGGATCGATTCAAGGTCCATTAACTCTGAGTGCCATAAACAACTCGTCAAATCAGAAATTTACAGTAGCATGTGACTTTATTAACACATTCACGATAGCATGGGGGCCACTGTTAAGGTTCATGACATACAAAAAAACTTAAGCAGTAAACAAATCCAACGTTTCCTTAGTTTCGTCTTACTGTCGAAGTTTTTTTTGTCTGCATTTAGCTGTATTCAGAATTTCCAGAAAATTGAAATTAGGCAAAAGTTAGAAAAATTGTGAACAATGGTCAGGGAAAAGATGTAGAAAGTTGGTACGAGGAGAATTGATGACAACCTTGTTATTCTATTCTACTGGACTATCATTAATCAAGTATTTTCTACTCAAGGATAGTGATTTAAAGGCTCTGCTCCAAAATTTACGTAGCTGAAAGCCTACAGTGCTCGTAATATAACCATAATTTTTCAACGCTGACAATGAACACAACTAAAGTATGCTACCTGCAGTGCACGTTAGATATGCCTTTAGGACTTATGGTATATCCACACAAACTTGCATAGCTGCATAACCGTGTGCATAAAGAAAATAACATTTTATGTACGACTTTAAAAGAGAAATGCAATTAGATAATTTTCTTTATGTAATATGTTTATGCGGCTATGCAAGTTTGTGTGGATATACCCTCATGACCTTTCAATGTGAGCCCCGTAGTTGTACCGTGACCGACATAGTGATCACGTCCATCCACAAGAAACAATTAGTCCTCTTTCTCCGAAAATGTGTCCGGTATGAACCATGTTAATCGATTTTGAATGGATTCAAATCCTCTGCAGTTGAAACCGCTATACCGATAAATTCAATTTATTAAATATACAACGCGTCACGTGGACGTGCACGTGCTTCTCCATCGCGCTCCGAGAATTCGGCGGTAGGAACGCGGAACAATCGCATTTGCCGTCGTATAGACTTCTCGCGGCCGTGCGAAAAGCGTTTCGCCACAGCACATCGGAGTCGTTGATCCGTGAATCGTGCGAGCAGAGTTGTCCGTGCAGCGGTGGACTCGGCGCTGTCTGTATTTAATGGTCCGGTCGAGATAATGGCGACTTAGTCGTCGCGCACGACTCGCCGTCCACCGCGACTCTCCAGCCCCCTCGGAGTCGTCGTTGCGTAGTCCCGTCACGTTCACGCCGTTTCTCGGTTTTCTTTCCCGCTCGACTGTATATAACGTTTCTCCGACCATTACACAGGATATTAACGCCTTTTCTTTCGGTTTCGCCGCGACGCAACTCTCTCGTTAAAAAAACACGAAGCACCCGGCGCGCAATTAATGCTGTGGACAAACAATTTTTTCGCTACTCGCTAATCCAGTCAGTTAGTCGAACGTGACTTGAACGTGACTCATAGAAAAAGATATATATTGTACGCATTTACCGGTCATTGTGAGTGACAATCGCTGTGACGCGCGAGACAAGAGTCAAACGTCACTTTGTGTCGGTGTCGTTAGCCTGAGAAAAGGAGCCTAACGATCAGTGTAATGAGAGCCCCAGGAAAAGGCTCGACTCTAATAATAATAGTAATAATGGGCGGTGCATCAGTTATGATCATATATATATAACATGTAGAAAAGTTGCCTAAAAGGATCGGGCTAAGTATTGTTGTATGTAGATTGTCATCGGTAGATTTGAAATACATCCGGAGAATACACATTGAAAATTTTTCTCGGTCTAAATTTATCTATTGTTTTTGAATTATCTCATCAAAAGTTAAGTATTAATCGATGTCGATTTATGCTCTTACTTAGCGATATATTTGATTCGCTCAGCTCATTTCGGTTCTTTCTGTTGAATATTACGATTTATACACGTTTTTTTAAAAAATGCCAAAACTCAAAAAATTATTATAAATTGCCAGAAAAGGAGAAATATTTTTCAACTTGACGGAAAGGTATCGACTAATCAACTCTAATATCAGCGAAAACTTCTTGATATAATCGAATCTTTTTTGTCATTTTGGTTTCATAATCTTTAACCTTTAAGGATAGTCACAGCACTACACGTATGGTTACTTGAAAAATTTTATTAAAAGAAAATAAAAGATATTGCCCAGAAGTCTTAAAATTCATCAATTTTACATTTTTCTGTTTCGTAAGAATATAAACTAATGTAAATTTAATTCCATACTACTAAAAAATAAAATTTTTTTTAGATGTTCTGTTTTTTTTTAGAGAGAGAGAGATGAGTATTTCATCTACCTACTACTTAGAAATTAAGAAACCACTCTTTTTGTGATAATTTTGACAATTTTCAGTTTTTGATGTTCACGTCATTGATAACTATAATCTGAAAATTCTGTTTTTTTAATTGTGTCACTTTTGAAATAAAGGAACGACGTATTATTTGTGTTCAATTCTGAACTTTATAAGCCCTTTCCATATTTAACAAGCATTTTTCTTCGTATTGGGAGTATGTATCCATCCCTAAAATAGTTTTCACGTATACTACACCCTATGTAGTCGAACAACATGAAACTGGCGAGTAGGGACGAAGGGAAGTGCGGTGATCCGTAACTCCGCGGGAAAGGCTGGATAGACGGACGGTGCGAAGTGCTGACGTTAGTTAGCAGGGTACACGTTGCGAACGTCAACTGGCAGACGGGCGTCGTTACGTATACACCCGTACACACGCGCGTATTAGAGAGACCGGACCTCGCCGGCGGGTTTACTACCTCCTGTAAACTGCACGGCGCACCGTTTGCGCAGGACCCCCAATTCGGTAAATATTGATACTTTTAATCGGTCTGTTTGCACCGACACGCTGTTCAAACGCGTCCGAATGTGCACAGCTGAAAAAACGCGGTGCAACCGGTCGCGGGTTCCTTCCCTTGGTCTTCGTCTTCTTCATGGTTCAATTTCTCCTCGTCGAGATGCGACACGTCGGGACCTCTTTATTAGCAATATGTTAATCTCTGATTGCGCAAGATCGATTGATACAAGAGACTGCGCGTAGGAAGCACCCAGAGAAAGGTTTCTTCAACTTTTAAAGAAATGTTTCTTTGCTATAAAAATTTCTTTGATTTGAACGTCGTTTCTTTGATTTAAACATTATTTTTTGGAATCAAATAAAATTTATTTGATTTAAAGAAATTATATTCAAATCAAAGAAATTTTTTCTTTAACCGTATAGCAAAGAAACATTTCTTTGAATTGTCAAAACTTTTTTCTGAATATACCTGTGTTTTACACTCGTATGAAGTTAGAGCCTCTGACTTAAAAAGAATTAACTTCCTATAGCTCAATTTATTGCTCATGCACACACATTTCGAATTCTCGTCAAAACGTCATTAAAAAACCAATTTTAGGAGTTTAATTTCATACTAATTTCCCAACTACTCAAATTAGGTCGAAAAGTCTTAGGCCTAGTTTTTTAATTACCTAACTTGCGATAACTTGTGGTTCAGACTTAACCTTATTTCACTTGATGATAATGGCAAAATTATGTTTTTCTAGCTAGGTTAATCACTAAACTAATAGTTTTGTAGTGGTAACTTTA